GTCAGGGAGTTAATTAGTTTACTGCCCTGTGCCCATAGCTGGTCAAGCCATTGGCCCGCCCACCTGTCTAGGACAGTCCACCCACCTGCCTCACCTGCTATGCCTTTGATGTATTTAATCAGTTGTTGTTTGTAAGGTGGGAGCCTGCCCATTTAATGTTCAATGCCAAAGGCATAATACATGGCTCCAAACCTTCCCTCATACCATATCCCGTGCCTCACAGATGGCATTACTATGCGACTCTGGCCTTATGGTGGACCTCCTTCTATGTCCACCTGGTGGCCTACTCCCCCCTCATTCTGGGCTGCTAAGCTCCCTGAACCATTCTTCCTCTTACCAGTGGCCCCCTTTGGGACCTTTGGCTACACAGGCCCTGACCTCACCTCTAGGCCAGTTGCAATCCCAGGCCCCCTGGCACTGGGTGTCCCTCATGATGGGTGCTCTGGCCCTTTGACTGTTTCAGTCCTGGCCCCAGCATTGACCTGTCAAGGGTTTCTCTGGTCAGGTTAATGAGCCATTCGCCCTCTCTCTCTCATACAGATCTGCCTTCTCAAGCACCTCCAGATGCAATTCACTCAATCTCTAAGGCCAGGCTATGCACAGTCTTTCAGGCTAATCCATAAAAACCCTACTCTACGCAGCCTTCTCACATGCCCACACTGGGCCCACTATTCTGCCCCCCTCACTGGGGCTCTCAGCCTTATGCCCATTGGGCCTCAGACCTGATGACATGCCTGGACCTTTTGCCCATCCCCTCTATGGGGTAACCTGCCAGGTCATGGGGACTGAGGCTATACAGCATCCTATCCTCACCTTTCACTAGGGAGGAACTGATGTGGCATTTCCTGGGGACCAACCCACCACAGGCAGCCCTGCCACACCATCCTGTCCTAGCTGGGTGTAGTTTTAGGTCATTCCCCAGGACCAGGAACCTCCTTCACCCCCATAGCTCCTACCCTTAACCACCAAGTGTTCTGGAAGCAGCAGCTCCAGCTGATGATGTTATCCCTCTAGCTTCTTTCAGCAACTTCCAGTTCAGCGCTGAGGTCTTGGGTTTAAGCTGAGGCTTCTCAGCCCCATCCCCCAATCCAGGATCCCTCCTGCAGTCACAGGACCTCCTCATTAGGCTGCACCACACCTGCCAGCTGCTTCACAGACTGTTTAAGCCTTTTAAAGTGGCAAGCACCAAAGGTGCCCTGCCATGTGCCCTAATACCAGTGCACATGTAGACTGTGATGCTTTACTGCAGAGCTGATTAGTCTACTCAGTAAAGTGCATATGTAGATGCACCCACTGAGATCAGAAATATTTAGAAGCATGTGTATAGTTAAGAGCAGAATTATGGATCTGAATTTTGGTTCATGAATCCTGAAAGGACTATGTAATGTTTCTTTAGAGACATTAACAAACTTGTGATTTGTTATTATAATGTTTTTAGTTAATATTAAGTATTGAAAACTCACTGAGGTTCACAAGTTTCCAAATATATAGAATATCTAACCTGTTTTGACGTTCAATATGCTTATATTGAAGTGGTAGCTTCATTGTTCATTTAATATCAATGGCATGTCCAATGGTTATAGTACTAATCACCTGGGTTCAATTTCTGACATACAGGGTGCATCTACATGAGACACTGACTGTGCAGTAGCCTGATACTACTGTGCAGTAGCATTGCATGAAAAAAACTGTGATGCAATGCTAGTGCACAGTAGTATTAGACTACTGTGCAATAGCATCACAAAAAAGGCATTTCCAGTGCTACTGCACTGGAGGTTACTGCACATTTATTGAATACTTGTATAAACATGTTTATACAAGTACTCAATAAATATACAGTAAAGACTGTGCAGTAGTGTTTTGTGTAGACGTGGCCACAAATTACAAATGTGGAAATTACTTAGACTTTCTGTCTCAGTTCCATTTTTGCAATAGCACTTCCTTACCTCACAGGAATTTTGCAAGGGTAAATACATTAAAGCTTTTGAAAGGGGTCAGATAAATATGTATGATAGATGAAGTGAATTAAATGGTGATACAATGCTATACACATATATATATACACACACACACACAAAATATTTGAGTGCCTATGCACATGCAGTGAGGCTGCTCTGACACACTGTAATTATGGCATGTTAGAACAGACTCAATTAAGTGAGTCTGCTGGAGCCTGGTAATTATCTTACTCCAGCAGACTCCAGTGTCTCGTGTATTAGAGTCCCCACACTGAAAAGTGCCCCTGCCACCATTTTTCAGCACAGAGATGCTGATACATGAGATGCTCTGAGCACTTTAATAAAAGCAGCTCTTGGAGCTGCTCTAATTAAAGTGTGCCCCCCCCAGAGCATATGTATAAACTACCTTTGTGTGCAAATTTGGTTTACCTGTACAAGGTAGCATATATAGTAAATGTATAGTTATTCATACTATAAGAGGAGATGAGAATGTTTGTATTATAGTTAGAAAGATATTTGTCATTTAAATATATATTCAGCACCAAAATGACATGGCTATTATATATAATCATGTAACTATGCATGCATATATATGCACTTTTATCTTATTTGAATTTCATTTTTCAAAAACAAAGTATTTAATCATTTTAAAAACTCTGATGAAAAAGCCTGCATAGGTTATCAACTCTGAGAGTCTTGTCACCTGTAGTATTCTAGGTTTCCTTAGATCTTTCCTACTGTTTGATTTTCCACTCTCCTCTGATCTGTTTTAAGTCCAGCTGTTAGAGTTTGACCAGCTGTAACCCTCCTAACCCCAAATGCGTCAAGGTATTAACTCAGGTAGGCCAATGGAAACAAACTTAAGTAGAAACCAGTTGTTTATCATTTTCTTTCACTTCTTTCCTTCTAAATAAAAGACAATAGTTTTGGAGGAGATTGAGGCTTTACTTGTACAAAAATATTTTAATCCACTTCAAGGTAAATCCAGAGATAAATTTTGTGCTGTGCCTATAGCAGGGACTTGACTGAAATATCATTGTAGACAAGAGCTTAGGAAAAATGGATTATCATCAACATAGCTTCCCAAAAAATTAAAAAAGCCTTGCATAGTGCAGATAAGAAGATAGGGAAAATATGCTATTCTGGTTTTAGTGCACATTGCTACATGACCCAAGAAGCCAAATATATTTTTCTTCCTTGAACTTTGAAATAGCTGGATGGCTTGAGTGATAATTTGAGTGCAGTGAATGAACTGCTGGCACCTGAATCCTTCAGGAATTGTGAAATTTGTTTTTTAATTTCACAAATCTAGAAATCTAGTTTCTGATCCTCTGATCAGTTCTGAAGATGCAGATCCCTGTAGTAGACACAGAGCCCTGGTGAAGTCAGTGGTGCAGAGGTTTGTGTGCACTGATCAGCTTTATATACTTGGCAGATCATTTGTTCCTTTTTGTGATTTATACCCAAGTTTGGGGGATTTGGGGTTTATCTTGAGTTTTCCCCAATGGTGATTAAAACTTGAAAACATAGGAAAAATATAAAACCCTTTTCTAGGCAAAGGAAAACATATTTTAGTTCAGGGGTGTCCAACATGTGCTCCACAGACTGCATGCGGCTGATGAGAGGTTAACCTGCAGACCCACAATTCCAGGTAATATTCCTGCTATCACTCTCCTGCTGCTGCCACTGGGGTCTCCAGGCTTCCCCTTTCTCTTCCAACTTCTGCTTCCTGGTCCTATCCCTGTGGGCGGTGCAGTGCAGCACAAGCCAAGGAGTCTATAGTCTGGAGATTCAAAGGGATTTGGGGGCACTGGCATGCTGCAGCATGGGGAGCCCACACAGCATGGCAAACTTCAGCAGGGAGGGGTTCAGCAGCCCAAATGGTGTGTGAGTGTCTAACTCAGAAGTTGGGCAGCCCTGGGCTAGGCTTTAGGAGCAGGGTTGGTAGCACTATCTGTTATTATTGGAGTTGTCTGTTATTGCCTAACACTTCCCATTACAAGATTAGCTGCTTATAGCTGCAAAAATCTTAGCTGTTTGGCCTGAAATTTTGTATGTCAGTTGTCTGCTTCAGACAGATATTTTTATTTCAGCTAACACAGTTCAGACTTTTCCAAGAGCATTGTTTCACATATGTTAAATGGCCCTTTTCTTCGAAGTATTGGAGCAGGGACTTAAAACTTGGCAGAAAAGTAATTTTTGCAACAGGGATGTGCCTTTTCATTCTTGTGAAAAATGCCCCCATTCAGCCAAGTTGTAACCCTTTGAAAAATCACAGCTCTTATGTGCTCAATGGAGATTTAACAGCCAAAAGCTTCAGATTCTGTCCTCACTGATCTGTCTCCACAGAGCACCAAGTGCAATGAAGCCCACAGCTATGGAGACCCAAAAGGAAGTTTGCTGGAATGGCTGCTCTAGCTGGATAGAGACAGGGACTGCAAAAGGGAATGCAAGTGGGATTCTAGCCATGTCCATCTCACACAGTTCCGGTGTGATGCTCAACAAATCTTGTAACCCAACCTTTTCAGTCAAATACTAATGAACTGTTTATGGATGCATACCAGTGTTACCCTTGTGCCACCATAACTTTTTATGGCAGTTTAAGTTGCAAATCAACAGATATCCCAGCCCCTTGTTGCACTCCTATGTGATTAAAAATATTGTTGCACTCAAAGCTAGTCACAGCTCATGGTGCCTTAGATGGGAGAAGGTCTGTTTGCTTATTATGTGCCACAAAAATCCTTCAGTAGTGGATTCCTGGGGTGTGTGTATCTTAATGCCATGCTCCACATTGGGGCACAGCACCTGGGGCCATTGTCCTTCAGGATTGGGCCCCGGAAGCCCTGGGAACAGCAGGGCCTTCACCTTGTGGGACAACACCGCTGGCTACCTCTATAGACACCAGTGAAGCACATCAGTTGTATCGGGACACTTCCTGGCACAGCTGATCCTGCTCTAAAGTCTGCTTAAGTGACCCTCTTTTACTGGGTGCCTAACCTTATAGTTTGGGACCTCTGCATTCACACCTGCAACTGAAGTTACTGGGAGCTGTATTCAAATACATTCCTCAGAAAAATCAGGTCCTAAGTGTCTCCACTTGGGGACTAAAAATTATTGGATTTTTTTTTTTTACTTTATTCTCTGCGCCTTAGCTCCTATTAGCAAACAGAGATAATATCAACCCCTCACCCATTGGAGGCTACGAAGATAATGTCTGTGAAGCATGCAGGTAGTTTAGTAATGGGCATCACAGGAAGGCAGATGAAGAAATTAATGCATTCGTAATAGTGCTTGAATTTTGTGCAGTAAATAAAGCCAGGGGCCATGACTTGAACAATCAGGATTAAATAAAATATTGAATAGCTGCTAATTAAGTGAGCACCCTCCATCCTTTGCAATGAATGAGACAGAGTTCTTTTGGGTGTGAGCAAGTAATTAGAAACTGTATTATAATGCAAATACATAAAGGGGGTGAATTAAGGTTGCATAAAACCTCAATCCTGGCAATTTCTAATTTTTGACTGAGTGACCTTGCTACCTTACGATAAGTCAGGGCAGCATGACCCCTTATAGACTACCAGTCTGTGAGGGGTCACGCCAAACTGCCTTCTGGCTAACAAGTCTAAGCACTTCTCTCAACCTCAGTATAGTTTACTACCTTTTAAGATCTGGTTTGTGTGTGGGTCTGTATGCACATGTGCACAATTAGAGATGTAAGCGACTGTTACATGTGCGGGTATCCAATGCATATGCTTGTCTACATTTCTATTAGTCTTTATTTATTTTCACATCCCTATTTTACTTCTTAACATGCCTAAGCATTATAGGAACCCACATATGTTTTTCTAAGTGTTTGATCCTAGGGTCCAGTTCCTTTGGTATATATTGGGATAGCTGACCCAGGATGTTTGACTTGGTGTGAAATGAAAAAAAAAAGAGCTTATGCATCTTATTTGAAATGCAATCTTTTAAACTAAATTTGGTATGCTGGATTGGGTATTATCCACTTGCTGACTTATTTGTTTTTCCAGTCTCTAATCTTTAGAGAGTGTATTGTATGTGGCAGCAATTGCACAGGTACACTCACTGCCAGGAACACACATTACTGCCCTTTGGTAATGTAGCCTAATTGTTTTTCTCCTGGTCAAATTACCCAGAAATACTTGGTTTACACAAAATTCCTACTGCTCTGTCGTGACAGTTTGTTATATTAAACGACTGGCCCCCATTACATTTCATCAACATCAGACAAAATTCAAACAACAAAGCTGATATTACATGCAGAAATATCAAGTACAAATTTCCTTGTTTGGGAAACTATTTTACCTCCCCAAATTTTGGAATCTTTCCGATCTCTACAAATGGAGATTCCTGGCTGGGACAGTCACTTTATTTTGAAAAACATTCTTGTCCTGTGGATGTGTGTGTAAAGCACTGCATGTCATAATTGTAGCCTGTAAAAGTTATAGTGGGAACATAGGAGCAGTGGGTAAAAATAAAAACTACACTTTTTAGGGATAGTTCCTGCCTGGTTAAGTGGGAGGTCAATTAAGGGGTGCTACAAGATTGTGCATTTTGCATGGCAAAATAAGGACAAGACTAAATTGCAGCCTGTGTAGCCTCTTTACTCCCCTGGGGCACACTTCTTAAGAGGGTCATTGAGCCATTGTACTGCTTTCTGCCCTCCACATGATGGCCACATAGGGAGAACACATCATATAGCAGGGAGCTTTGGGAGGCAAATATCACTTTCTGCTGTAGAAAGGAACTCCCTCAGGGCACTCAACATTATACCCTCCCCTTATATGGTATAACTGAGGCTTTAGTGTGAAGACAATGTTCTCAACACTCAAAACTAAGCAAAATCAAACTCCTCAGTCTTGCTGGAAAGTGGGAGGCTGCTTCCTTTTTTATCTCTGAATGACCTACCACTAAGCTAAACTTGAGCAAACATAGGAAAATGCTGTCTTTTGAGTAAGATTTTTATAGAGGGTGTGAATCAAGTACTCCTTTATATAATGCTCTTAATGAGCTCAGAAAGATTTTTTCAGTTAGTGCTGTAATTTAGAAGGCCCAGCATTGCTGATCCTACATATGGAAACTGATATATTGATTAGCGGTACTAAAGTAATTGAAAAAGCAAACAAAAATGACTCAGAGTTAAAGGCTTCTTCAAGGTGAAGATAATAGGAAAAATTAAGCATTCTAAATTGATTTTTTTTTAAAATAAAAAATTTGCCATTAAAACCTGTTAGTAATTAATTTATTTTCCAACATAAGTCATAAACACTTTAGGTCTCATGATAATTACCCACACGCTATGGCACAAATGAAAATTTTAGAGTAAACCCAGCAAATTATTAGAGGTATCATGGGTATAACTCTAAATTGAGTATTTGTTCACAGGAGAGTCATTCAAAATATATGTTAGGAAATGAAACTGATCCTGAAAACTTAAAAATACATTTAGTTTTCCAATTCTTTATCCAGTTCTTTTAATGTCAACTTTGTTTTTCCATAACTTATAGTAGGTCTTATAAGAACTTCTGAAATGGCAAGTATTTTTGCTAATTTAATATGCTTTCTAGGAAAAAGGGTCAGAACTGTTGTTCCCAATGACTCCTCTTATGTAGTTTCACAGCTAGTTGTTAGAATTTGTTTACAATAAATTATGTAAAGATGGCACCTTCCTGTTCAGAAGACCTTGGCTTTCTTAATTTAGGTCTAAAACCCTGCATTAGGTGCCTAGGTTTCATATACACTGCATGTGGAGAGTTTGGCTTTTTAGAAGGGTGAATAAAAATGCACATGCTAAGCAGGAGAACATCCAGAGCTAGCCAACAGTAACTGCTACCTAAACTCAGGGGTGTGTTTGAATTCCATCTGTCTCCAGTACTCAAGTGCTTCAGACAGATACCTCCATCGACACAGGCTAATGAGTGTAGAAACCAAAAATATTCTCTGAAAGAATTTTTTTTTTTTTTTTTAGATGTAACCAGGAGAATAGATGCTGCTACTTACCTTTCATATAATAACCTAATATTAGAGATCTGAGTTCAAGGCTATCCTCACCTTGAGAGGATTCATACACACTTCTTCCATCTCCAGGAGAATGCTTTAGCCACTAAGATATGAGTTGCTTTAGGTGAATGGGCCTCTTTCTTGTGCCACTGTGAAGAACAGAATGAAAGGCACCTGACAAACATTCAGTTAAAGGTGCAATGGGACCTGATGCACAATCCTAACAATTGCACCTCCTGCCATATGTAATAAGATATTCTTCTGGGGACAATGGAGTGCCCCCTTGTGGTGGGCTGGTACCTGGCTATTTACTCTGGTCCCCTAGATTGGTCAGCCCCTTTCTCTCTCTCTTTTCTGCCATGTTTTGGTGTTAATTGAGATTTGTTTGAGAGGCTGCCTTTAAGGAACCTAAGCCTAAGCCATAGGCACCGTGTTTCCCTATCCTATCCCCAGCCCCAAATTTAACTGGGCTGTGTGGGGCTTTGCCCCCTCTCTCTCTTTCTCCTGCCTGCCTTTCCATCAGTGGGTAGATGCCCAGCTCCACTGTGTGTTACTATTGTAATGAAAAAAGAACAATGAGCAGGCCTGTACTGGGCTCTCAAAACAGTCCACTGTCCTCAGAACAATCCACATTCCCAGGCCCTTCTGGTATCACCATGACCAATTCTTAGTCTGTTTGGGTATATTCAGCCCCTCTGCCAGGGTGTCTCTAGGGTGAAAATAAAACAACTATCAATTTTTTGTATCCCTTTCTTGGAGACTTCCAAGGCACCAAAAAAAAAAAAAAAGAATAAGGAAAGAAGATCCTCGGTATTCCTGGGCACTTGCTCCTTCATTCTGGGTTGACATAAGTCCTCAGGCTGTGCGAAGCTTCGCTCGTTGATTCGATTCGGCCCAATTCGGTGGCCAAATCTCTGAATCCAAATTGAATCAGGAGACTCTTTAATCTCTCTGAATCAAATCAGAACCCTCTGAATCAATTTGGAGAGATTCAGAGAGATACCATGATTCAGACATAGACACAACTTTAAATATTTTTTCTACATACCTCAGGGTACCAGGTGACTTGTAAATGCTGAGATGTTGGGGTGGATGGAGTGTCCCACGATAGTATGGGGGGTCCCCAGTGCAATCAGTGGCAGACCTAGAAGTGGACCAGAAGCACTTGCAGTCCACTTCCAGGTCCACTGCGGAGTGTGCTGGAGACCCCCCTGCACCCCTGGCTTGGGGACTGATGGCTCCTGGGTCTAGAGGGGACACCTGGGGTCCCCCTATGGCTCATCCCCAAGCTGGGGGAATGTGTGTGGGGGGTCCCCCATGCACTTGGTGGTGGACTCGGAAGTGGACTGTAAGTACTTCTGGGTTTTCTGCCAAGCATGCGGGGCCCCCGCTGTGCTCCTGTGGGATGCTCCATCCACCATCGCAACATTCATGAGCCACACTGGGTACCTTGAGGTATGTAGAAAAAACATTTAAAGCTGTGTCTATGGCTGAATTGCTGATTCTCTGAATCAGCATCGAATCTTCAGATTCTGATTTAGTCGAATCAAATTGGGACAGTTATCTGAATCAATGGATTATATCACTGTCCCCAGTTCAAGCCAATTCTGAATCCAAATTGAATATGGCCCATTTCACACACCCCTGATTGAGTCCCTCCTCTCAGGCAGCAGTTCTCCTAGCCAGAGGGGTTTCCACCCTTGTCTCCCTGTGGGGCTCTGTCTCGCTCCACTGCCATAGCCAGTTTCCTTCCTCTGGCCTGGGGAGAGTTTATATCTTAGTCGGACATGCCCCCTTCAGCTGACCAGGCTTCCTGCTCCCTGGGTGTAGGTATGATCCATCTTTTGCTTTTCTCTGCCTGCTGGGTCCTGCAGTTGGCTGACTGAGGGCTGGGTTTTGCAAGTGTTAGCCTTCCACCCAGCGTCTAGCCTTTCGCCTCTGGCGGTCCCTGCTCCCCTTCTACTGCTGCTCACCTGCTCTGATCCAGCTGGGGGTTTCCTTGACAGCTGAGGTACTCTTCACCCCAC